CCTTTTTGCTATTGCGCTATTAGAATTAGTTATTACTTCTTCCGTCTTCCGTCCTCATCAATCATGTAAAAGGCTCTGGCATTAAGTGAGTGAACTAAATGGGGTGTTGACTGGTGAGGATCCGTTTACTCACTAAATCCCAGAGCCTTTCCTTTGTAAAGAGGGGTTTCTCGACAACTGATTGGTCGAGAACTAACAACCCTAACCCACATAGCAACCAGCCCGCCCCACCAAAACCTACCTACAGTGCCTGAACTTGAGAGGGGCCGAAGGCCCCATAGTTGCAGAGAGAGAGAGATCTAGAGGGAAGAAGATGGTGACCCGAAGAGTACCCAATTACATACAACCAGCTGGTTTAAAAACCTCATGAAGCTCAACTACAAAACATGGGAGCGGCATGTAGGCATACGAATATATAATTCACGGGGCATGTCTTATCCTGAAACTGTATATTATTGGTCAGTTTTCAAGACCGACGGCGCAGTTGACGAATAAGAGACGTATAAACAAACTAGCAGTGGCCACCCCGCGACTGCGAGTTGAAAATACCTTGAAATATGTATGAGGATGCTTCAATAGGGGGCCTTCGGCCCCCCCTCCTCCACCTCCACCCACCTCCAACTACCCTTAGTTAGATGTGCGCCGTAGGCTTTCGTTAAACTCTCATTAGCCAAAATACTCGTTAGTATCGTCTCTAGAGCAATTTATTTCGCCACAGGACACACACCTACATAACCCTCCATCAATTCTTGAACCATAAGTACTCGTAAATTCATGACGTTTCCGGGAACGACTGCTATTGCATACCATACACAAAATCACAAAATCCACCTTTTTGTATGCCATGCAATATTGGTCGTGTTCAGAAATGCTATGAAATTACGAGTAAAAGTACTATACTACACCATGGTCTGTCAAAGCTGACCCTTTTTCGTGGGGGCCAAAAGCCACACGAAACCCGAGAGAGAGATTGGCCAGAGATTGATTCGGATCCAATAATTGATAGCGATTTGTTAGCACTAGCCACTCTTTTGGCCCCCACGAAAAAGGGTCAGCATGTCTTGACGGACCATAGGATAATGAATTTGCCAAGCCCCATTAGTGACAAGTAAGGGTCAGGGTTGCAATGCAATGCATTCTTGTCTTCTCAAGTACCACCAAAGTACATATGTACAAGTACATGTATGTAGTACTTGTGCTGGAGTCAAACAGGCAGTACTTCTTGAAAGCACTGATGGTAGAGAGCGAGGCCATGTTATTACCGTGATATCATGACACGTTGCGATCAGTTACACGACGGCCCATCTACCCCCACTCAATAAAGGGCGACGTCCTTCGCAAAATGCCACAAATATTGAGATAGATCGGCGCTTCTGGCGCTACATCCACAGCCGAGTGATTTTGGGTGAGGCGCAGCAATGCAGCACGGTTCCATGGCTCAGTTGGTTAGCGCGTGGTGCTAATATCATTCCTTGCAGGGTTTGTCTCTCAGGGTTGAGTGTTAACGCCAAGGTCGAGGGTTCGACCCCCTCTGGAACCATACCCAAGTTCAGTTGTCTCCAATGAACATCCTTTTTGCTCCTGTATCCGGATCGTGAATGGCAGTTCACTTCGGGGTTGTCAGGAATATCTTTTCTTCCTTTCTTCCTTTTTCTTTTGTTCTGGATTGATGCACAGCCTAGTAGAATAGGGTTCTGTGGTGTTTGAAACTATATAACATCCCGCGCCGAAATTCGAATAGTACCTCCAACCAACTCCCTATTAACGATGCCGAACCTCCAAACTCGAATTCTTGGATTATAGTTTGAGAGGTCTCTTTTCGCACTCCAATCTCAATTAAGAAGATACGAACACTTGTACCCCGGTATGACGATCCCAAGGAATTCACTATGACCATTGTTTCGGCATATCTCATTGGCTCCGGAGGCAATCCCGCGAATGTTGTTTAGCTATATATGCCAAATTAAGACATGGGTGACGGAACTGGCGACACCTTTTCAGCGCTGGGTGTAGAAGTTGGGGGTGTTATTGGGTCTTCTTCAGATCGATATATATATGACTGTCTTCTCAATTCGCGATAGACGGGAGACTAATCGTCGTTGCTTGTGCTGGTGCGCTGACAGATGAGAGCTTGATGCCGGAAGAGATCGATAGGCCGTGGTGTGGAGACATCTGTGTATCTTGCATGCGATGACTTGTTACTGTGTGTATCAATGTCTCCCATTTCTGCAGCTGGCGTAGGAGGTAGATAACGGTGCATGTCGTAAACGATGCGGAAGCAACTCTACCATCCCCACGTCCTCCAAGCAGTCTGAAAGCTGCTGAAGACCGCGCATGTACGTATATCCGTGTGCCCCATGAACAGCCTACCTACTACGGGCAGCGGCCGAGATGTATCCTTTTAACTAGGAGCACCAGAGCTAGAAAGCTGTCTATTCCGCTCCTACCCATCGAGCGGCAGAATTCACAGTCCAGAGACGCAAGACATGTGCTACACTACCACAAGGAGGACATACAACGATCACAAATAACACCGAGCTGAGAAACCGTCCGAGTGACACCCCATGGCCCAAACAGATATACTCACCACCCCTCACTCGACTCGGCACTATTCCTAATTTATGACGAGTGATACCTGGTGATTGACTCGACCGGTGCGGGTGATGGGGCATGACGCACCACGCACTGAGTAAGATTTTATGACTTTGTGGACGTGAGTGTTAATGACTAGACGAGTCATTTGTGGTGATTTGTGGATATGGTTGTGGGTGATAGTTCGTGATTAGACTGCTAATCTGGCCGAGTCGGAGGTGGTGATGGTGAGGGGCGGTGTGGGTGATGTTTCGTGATCTAAATACTTCATAGCCGAGTCATAAGCGATGATGAAGAGGGGAGGTGTGGGTAACGGTTTATGATCATCTTTCAAATACTGACCGAGTCATAGGTGGTGATGGAGATAGCGGACGGCGGGTGATCAGCTGTGAACTGACTACTGACCAAGTCATTGGCCGTGATAGGGTGTAATGAGGTAGTGGGTGATAGCTTATGACTACCAACCGAGTCATGGATGGTGACAGGGTAGGTTGGCTAGTGATGCTCGTGATTGACATATATACTAAACTGAGTTTCATGCCATGAGGGATTACTAAGGTATCGTGTCCTGCGGAGATTATGTCATGATAGGGAAGAGACACTACACCAGCCACAAAACCAAATACCGAAAACGTGACACCAAGCACATTACACCCGCACCTCCGCCTTGCACTCACACCAAGCCACTAGGCCAACATAGAGGCTGCGCTCACCATGCCACCACGACTATTCCATCGGAACCCTTACCCATCCATACCAACAGACGAATCCACGACCGCGCCTCCAATACCAACTAGTACAACCTTCTCACACAACTAACGGATCCGGCCATCGCCGACCACATCCCGCAGACATAATCCACACACGCAACCCCCGGGCCACTAGACACTCATACTAGCTATAGTCTCACCCCCAGCGGTAGTTTATAAGCAGACACAACCACGGCCCTACTATGCTTCCCCCGCTGTTATGCTATGCTATGTATATAGCACGACCACATCTCCATATGGCAATCATACAATACCCACGGGCGTGAGATTCCTAGCTGGCCATAAGCTTAGGTGTACTCAACAAAACACCGCCGAGAGCTAGAGCTGGGGAACACGACGAGACAAACCACGCCACACGGCCGTCCAGAGCTAGCCTTGCAACGGTCTAGTCTAACCCTACCAAACCCAAGACTCGACCCAAGGTCATTTCCCCAGTCTTTTAAGTTTGGCCCAGGTAAGACGCAAAAAGGCACGGATATCAAAGAACCTGCTACCTATAATTATCGATAATTTCCTCGAGTGGGTCCGGAATCCCCATAGCCTCCGGGCTACTCACAACTCACAAATTAACAAATGAGTGTTCTAGGCTCATGAGATATCACTCGACAAAAAATCCCATGAAATAATTCAATTATTTATATTATATTTTATTTAATTCGTTAATTCATCAATTATTTACAACCCAGAGGCTATGACACAAAAAGACAGATGGAGAAATTATGCACCCACCGGAGATTCCCAATTAAGGTAGAATATCTCGCTCTACATGCATAGTGGTCCAACTTATTCTTGCAAATGCAGGACCCGACCCAAAGAACGGCTGGCCCATTGCGCAGCCTAGCTTATGCCGGACAGACAGACGGGACCCACCCCCGACCGCAATGAGTCCAGAGCCCAGAGCGGCTTAATCACTATATGGAATGGCCTTGTTTCTTCATACTAGTATTTGGTTCAATAGCATCTGTTTTAACCACTGTCTTCCTAAGTACTTAACTGCTACTAAATTCCTATTTGGTCCACCCGGTTTTGTCTTTAGCATCGACATACTTAAACACCACTCATAGTCAATCTCTATACAGCCAGTCCTGCAGCCCACAAGTAACGGTGACTCCTTCTTTATACCCAACAACACCACACACGACGTTTAAAACCTCGACGTAATTTACAGCTTTGCTTTGCAGCAGTGCCGTTAGCACTAACCGTCACAGATAACTCAATACAACGCCAGGTGGATTAAATACTAAATCACAGTGAGGATGAGGGCATTGATTCTACAGATAACGTATAACGTCAGGTATATTCACGTCATACAACGCTACGTTGTGACGGACTGGCATTGGGTCATTTTGGTACAGGTACAAGTATGTAGTTACGGTAGCCCAATCCTCGAGTAACTTAGGTGAGGGTTGTATTATATTTGACCATTCGCTTTGCCAGAAACAAGACTTGCCCAGGGCGTATACCTAGCATCCTGCAGACCCCCGCACTACACAGTATGAATACATGTAGTATCCAACCACAGCTACAACACACCACACCATACAATCACTTCTCTTTATGCAAGCTTCATCCATTCATTTCTATCCCCCAAATTAAAGCGGTGGAAAAAAACTAAGCCTACAACATAGCACTCAAACCTCAAAACGCGCTATATCCACCATCCACAACCCACGACGCACCCGTAACATAGCTCGCCATCGGACTCCCCAAAAACACCACCACATCCGCAATCTCCTCCGGCCTGCCAATCCGCTTCTGCATCGACGAGCGCGGGGGGTCCGCTGTGGGGCCCATGCGGGCGAGCAGTTCCGTCCCCACGGGGCCCGGGCAGACCGAGTTTACCCTGATGCCGTCGGGCGCGTGGTCGAGTGCTATATATATATATATACAGAGTGAGTGTCTATGAGTATAGAAGATCTAGATAAAGGGTGTGTAAGTAAGTAAGAAGGAGGTGGGGGGGTACGTACCAGCGTTTCTACTGATCCCGAGTACGGCGTGCTTGCCGGCGATATAAGTTGTTGCGCCCTGTGCTGCAAGGAATCCATTTATGGAGGCCATGTTGACGATTGATCCGCGGAACCCGTCTCGGCCCTCCCAGGATACTAGGTCCTGCTTCATCATTGCTTTGAGCTCTTCGCGCTGGCAGAAGAGCACTCCGTTGACGTTTACGTTGTTTGTAAAGTCCCACTCTTCCTTTGTTATATTGCAGGCCAAGGTATTCTTCTGGACTGCCACCTACATGCAAGCGCGGTGTGAGCAAAGCCTTTAAGAGAGAATGGGAAGATCCTTTGATAATCACATGGTGTGGGGGGAAAGGGGGAGGGGGGTAGGTTACGCACTCCCGCATTGTTACATGCATAATCGATCCGTCCCAGGGACTTGACGGTTGTTTCAACCATGTTCCGGACAGATTCCTCGTTCGTTACGTCTGTGTGCACAGGAACCACCTCAAAGTCTTTGTTCGTGGCAACCTTCTTCGCCTCAGCGGCAACAGCCTTGAGCCTGTCCATGTCCACATCTGCAATCGCGATTCCAGCGACGCCGGCTTTGGCGTATGCTAGGGTTATAGCTCTACCAATACCCTGTCCTATACTATATTAGCAAAAAAAGACCAACAAAGGTAAAGGACAGAAAAAGAAATACGTACCCGCCCCAGTGACGAGTGCGTTTCCTGTGAGTCTAAACATAATGATTGTTTACTGTGAATTGAGGAGTAGCTAGCTGCGGGCTGCTGAGAGGGGTTGTCTGGACGATTCGTGGGCTTTTATGAGAGCTGGACGTTACGTAAAGGAGACTTTTCGGATGACTATTTATTGCCCGAACCCCCGCCTTGTGGCTTTCCTGTGTGGATCCTTTGATAGTATCCATTTCAGCCAATACACCCAGGTTGTTTTTTTCCTTTCCTTTGAGACACCGACTCCAATCTGTAATCGGGTGCGCCTTGCGCTACCCCATGCTAAGTCGGAGCGACTCGCCCATGTGAAATTCGTTGAAGACGCTTGCTTCTCAAGCACTACATCGGATTGCCCCAAAGGGGAAGCTTTCGCCAAGCCGGCATATATCTGCCATCAAGTCTCCACGTGGAAATAAATGCTGTTAAGTCCGATGTGGCATATTCATGTCTATATATGCAACCTTCAATGATATGCAACCTTCAATGATATGCAACCTTCAATGATATGCAACCTTCAATGAGGGGGAGAGCGTGTAGAAAAAGCAAATCCTCAAGGTATATGTTGAGTGAGTGGGAGAGTCAATCGTGTGGATGTCAAATAGTGGCCCGAGAATACAGATCCAAAGATAAATGTGTGACAGTGACTACCTACCCCACAACTCTAGTACTACTACTACTATGTCTTGGCACCGAGTGATGATCCGTGATACGAATATCAGTTGCAGTTAATTATTTAGCGCGCGCCCTAGACTCAAGGACCACGTTGATCAACCGCAGCGTAGTCTGGGTTGCTACTGATGGATCAGCTTCGGTTATCGAAGCTTCTCGACCGTAGATGTTACTATCACTATACATGAGATGATATATGACACCGCCGGCTGCCGGGCCTCCGCGCGTTGTGCATGTTTTCTGACTGCGGGAGATCATCAGCTCGATGTTCACGGATCAATAAGAGGCCCCGTCGCCGCGAATCCCTGGTTTAACTGTTAAACGGACGGATGAGCGTCCCGTTCATGTAAGACATATATATGATATATATCTTGGCTCCCTCGGAGGCCCCCTCACATGGTCCTTGATGTGTGCTGACACCCGATATCCAAGCAAGTCGCTCAATCCAGAGCCACTTGCCCCGCACCCCATGGGGCTAGCTAGTAATCATCGGTCTTGTGTGACAGCGTGGCCAGGGCGGGCGGAGCTGCGTGACAACCGACCGCAGATCACAGAACTCCGAAGGCACTGTAGCTTCAGTACGTACGTATACGTCCAACACTGTTTATTTTTGTTTTTGTTTTTTTCTCGGCGGAAATGTTGCGCTGTCTTCAAGACAAATCAAAATCAGGCTGCTCGGGACATTGACCAATATGCCGAAGCTGGGTGGGTCCGAAGCGGGCTTCCTCTCTAGTTAACGCATTAATTGGTGTGCCGAATGCGGCTATCCTTCCATGTGCAGGCCCAAGATCTTGGAATGTTGATATTCCAAATCATGGTGTAGATGATCGGCCGCAGCTGGTGCGTAGGTACGTACATACTTTGTATATCTGCGCTCAAAATTAAAGTGTTGGCTGATGACGATGCAAGGGGTTACACGCACCTACGTACCTGTGCTCCTCCTTTGCGGGGGACAAAGTGAAACATATAACTAAGTATATGCTCACGGGACCACACCAGAAACCAGAACAGCACTCTTAGTTATCGTGAGGAAACAACAGCAGAGAAACACTCTGCCCCCACCAGAACCACATACCGACGCAGATAGACTTTGAGTCTCCCCGAAAAGTGCAAGCGTTTTTCGTTTTGTAAACACCGAAGAGCATGTGAGGGGCCGACGACGTCTGGAGTAAACAACCAGTACGTACATCTGAGCTTGTACCGTGATGTATCATGTGGCTCCACTAGCGAACCAACGGCCGGGGGTATATATCCAATATACTAGAAGGCGGAGACGCTGTACTTGTTGGTCTGCTGAGAACGTCGAGACATGTTCTACTCGGGATAGGAAGGAAGGGACAACAACAGGCTTGGAGTGAAGCAGACGTAGAGAGACACTGCGGGTAGGAAGACACTGCGGAGTCGTGTTGTCATGTACTACACCAACTCACTCCAACTGGCGCAGGCCCCGAGAACCCCGCGTCTGGGCTGAGAAAGCGCAACAGCCCGACCCGAGCCGGCCATCTGTCTTTCCCGCAACACGAACCCCGGCCACATATCCTCAAGCCCCGACACCTTTTTCCAAAAGTCTCCTGTCCCCCGACCAATATCTATTATGTATTAGTATACGTGACATGGTTAAGAAACACCAACCCAAACAGCTGTCATTACCCAACACTCCCCTCCACCTCTCCTATGTAACCCAACTGCGACCTCAAAACTCCAATCACTGCACCCTCAACACCACTCCACCTCACAACCACCAAACCCCAGGCGTATACTACCGCGGCTCATCAAGCCCCGGCCCATCCAATTGATGACAAACAAAAAAAAAAAAAAAGCACTGCCCATCCAATCCCCACAAAACGAGTGATACCCCATGACTCACCTCGTCCTCAGTGGCGAACATCCAAACCCCACCACGGCGATATGTGCTAACAATTACACACACACCCCACCACTACCACCAGAACCCCTCGCCTCCGGCCCCGAAGTGCACTATACACCTGCCAGCAGAGGTGTCGACATCAGGACCACGGACAGCAGTTAGTGGGCTGGACCGGACGTCGATATGGTCTGGACCGGTCCTAACTCGTTTCTTTGGCCCGGACAAAACATAGGCCACATGGACCACACCATTTCCGGGGAGCGCCCCGGCAGAAAAACGGAGCTTTCCATGTTACTTCATGACCACCCCCCCGTGGCCCGGGAATACCTAGACAAGGCACGTCCAAGTGGGCTGGACCGGACTTTTCCGACCACCTTCTGACCGCGGCCGGGCAGCGCAGGCCAGCCCATCACACCCCCTTCCTCCGTCTCGCGTGGCAGTCGCAAGCCCATAGCGATACCGTACCAACAACACCCCTAACACTGCGATATCCTTCCAGATGCAGTACTAGATCCCTCCACCTGCCCTATATCCATCATTACACCACACCACACCGTACCCAACCCAACCAACCCAAACCGAAGCCGGCGCGCTACATACATACGTATACATACACACTCACTCATAAACGGGCACCGCGATCACTTACCGGCTCGGAGCTCGGAGCTCGCGGCATTCGCCCCCGCGGGCACCGCCGGGGTGGCGTGGGGTTAGTTAGGCCCGTTCTCGCGTCGGCGCCAGGCATCACCTACGCCTACACCTAGCTGCACCCACGAAGCTAGGTGTATGCTACGTGAGGATGAGGTTTAATCGCCCTCGCCCCCCACACCTACACCCCACGGGGATAAGGGACGTCGTTGCCATTGCTATAAATAACTCGAGCCCGTACTCTACATAGAGACCCTTTAAACCATAAATAGATCTCGCGATACTCTACTCTAGATACAGATATCGATCGATGTTGCTACCTACCCGCACTGGGCTAGCCATCCGCAAATCAAAGCTAGGGACCACATTTGTGTCCGTATGTACTAATAGCAACCGCAACCAAAACCATCGTCATTATATACGGGGGGCGAGACGGATTGGTTAGTTGGTTGGTTGATAGGGGAGTCTCGGTAAGTATGTACAGTAACGGTGTTCTAGGTCTGTAGTAGATTGGATTCTATTGGATTGGATTGTATCGGATTGGATTGTAGGTATTGTGTACGCGTACAAAGTACACCTACGGGCCGGCCGAAAGAACGCGGAGGAAGTGCTCGAGCGGCCTAGCTAGGGATATATGAGAAGGGAAAATAGAGAGACCGGGTCAACTAGTTGAGCACCCCCCCCCCCCCCCCTTTTTCCTTTCCTCCTCTCATCCAAACCCCAACTACTACTCCATACCCAGCATGCAAAAACAATCATTGACCCACCCACCCCCCACCCCACCCCCACACACCCGAGGCCAATGATCAAAACCACCACATATTTTCAACCCACGCACCGAACCTTCATAAATCAACAATCCACGAGTAAAATATAATTTTCTTCTTTTTAAACCCCCAGCCGCCCCATAGCCCTAAATACTTACGTTGAAACAGAAATCACCCGGCCACAAACAAAAAAAAAACCAAAATAAAGAAACCGACATGCTCGCTCGCTCGCACGCATCCATATATCCACTCGACCCCCCCCCCCCCTTCTAACTAGAACCAGTGAGAAAAAAATAAAAAAAAGCGGGTAGAAAGTGATAGTAATACAATTTTTTGGTTAGAAGTAGTAGTAGTAGTAGTAGTAAAAAAAAAAGTAAAAAAAAAGAACAATTTTTTAATGGAAAAAAAAAAAGAGAGATCCCCCGTGCGTGCATGATGTTATGTTCCCCAGCTTGTCTGTCTGTGCTTGATTGAATCGAATCCCCCATGTGTCTTATCCTATCCTATCCTATCCTATCGTATCGTATGCTATCCTATATCTTATCCTATCTTATCCTACCCTATCCTACTCCCCCACCAACAAAACACTCCCCGCTCCCCAGGACCGGTCCCTATCGCCCCAAAAAGAAACCAAGAAACCAAGAAAGAAGAAAGAAGAAAGAAAGAAAAGAAGTGGAAGGAGTAAAACTAAAACTAAGAATAAAAAAAAAAGAAATAGAAGAGAAAGAAGAAGAAAAAAAAGACCCCGTAGAAAATAATACGTACAACAACGACAAGAACAATTGAACGACAACTTATCCCAATCCCCATCCCAATACTATAATACACATCTCCTCACCCCCACCCAGATCTAGAAGAAAAATGCCTATTTCTCCCAAATACGCCCCATCCAGCTGCCCTCATCCCAATCCTCTATCCCCCTCCCATTCACAAAGACCGCCAGATCCTCCGCCCCGCCACCACATCGCTCGCCCTTATCAAGCTCCCTCTGCAGCTGCTCGTGCTCCATCATGCGCTTGCGCTCAGTGCCCTCCTTTGGGGTCTGCGCTGGTGCTGGCGCCGGCGCCGGCATTGGCTGCTGGTCTGCCGCATAGCTAGCTAGGCTTGTCAGATACCCTTCTGACTGTGCACCTGGCTGCGCTGGCGCCTGCTCTGGTCGGCGGTTGGGCGACGATGTGGGCTGCTGGGGGCGTGATGCTGGTGTCCCTGCTGCTGCGGCGGCAGCGGCAGCCTGTTGCTCCTGCTGCTGGCGCGATGTGTTGACAGCCATCCAGCGGTCGCCGCCGGGGGCGCTGGCGCCTCCGGCGGCGAGAAGAAGAGCTTCAACGTCGCCTTCGCGCTTGGTCACGGTGCCGGTGCTGCTTTCGCGCTTGATTTCAGGGTCGTGGTTGGCGGTGTCGGGTGCGGAGCGCTTTTGGGGCGCGTGTGGGGGTGGTGTGTTGAATGAGTCGCGGGCGGTGGCGTTCTCGCTGTCGGATATACCCGTAAAGTCATGGAAGAGCTGCTCAAAGCGTTTGTACTCTTCGTAGCCGCCACCGAGACCGTCTTTGAGTCTGCGGGCGACCGCGGCTTCAGGCTTCTCCGGCGCGCCGTCGTCGCTGTTGGCGCCGTCGCCGTGCAGGCGGACATACTCGCTGCGGACATTTTGGAAGTACTTCCGCATGCGGCCCAAAGTGAGGAACCAGCCTTCGGCCATGCGCCACATCCCTTCATCTTCGTGATCAATTCGACAGCTTTCCGGGCCTCGAGACCGGTGCCTTCGGCACTGCGGCTGCTACGGCTTCCCTCCATATCTTCATCTTCGTCGTCGCCCGAGGCGCTGGCTTCATGCGGAATGCTGCCGGTAATGTATCCTGATTGGTCCATCCACGGGAAGCTCCAGGCATAGACGCCCGAGACACCAACCATATAGACTGCGAATCCAACGGCAGGAGTCTCGACGGAGCTGCTCCATTCTTCAAGACCGTTCACAATCTGCATGATACCGCGAGCACATCTAAATATTTCCTTTGCCGACTCCTCCCACCAATCCAAGACCGTGGTCCCGGGTTCAAGGCCTTCTCTATCGGTCTCGGGGTCATCCGCAGGGAATATTGGTGGATCGAGAGGACCTTGTGGACGGTTGATACGGAGCGGTAGGAAGGGGATGTATTCCCGATGCATGATGACGAGGCAGAGGAAGTAAGTGATGTGCATAACTGCATATGCACTTGATGTACGCGAAGACATGTGAGCAGAAAGTGTTTGCGGGGAAAAGTGTAGATGCCTTGGAAGAGACGAATGGAATCCATCAAGCAGCTGTGACAGTCGGTAGAATTTAGAATGGGGCGACCATGGAGGGTACTTTTCCTGTCTAATCAAATGTCAGCTAATGAGAGAGGAGGAGGGTGGATCGATAGATCGGTCTATACCTTCTTCCGCCAGCACAGGCCCAATCCTGCACCCTTCCCCAAATCTCTGTGATCCTGACAACCCTAGCCAAAATACCTTCATCTTCACCAACTTCCCACCGCTTACTGTCCCCACCATTCCTCTCCTCTGTCTTGTCATATCCGTCAACCGACAAGTACCCAGTCCTCACACCCTCACCAAAAAGAAACCCTCTCTCCTCACAGGGCAATTGCACTCTCGACGCTTCGGCGAGCGAGATTCCGCTCGGCCTGAACCGGCCAGAGCTCAAAGACCGATCAAGCATGAAAAGCGCCCAAAACGTCCGTCTCCTAACCTCCTTCTCGATAAAGTCCTTGCCGGAAGCCTTACTGTCATGATTGTTGTTGTTGTTGCTGCTTCCTGTGCCACTTCCACCACTAGAAGGCCTGGCATGGTTGTCCAACTTTCTCCTCTTTGAGGAAGGGCTTGCTTCGCGTCTGTTCTTGCCCCCAGCCAATGAGAGCGTGATGAATGGGTTCGCCCACGTCTGCTCATCTTCGTGAACGTCATCCCAACTAAGTCCCAAGACTCCTCCCATCCTAATGGCGATTCCAAGCCACACGTAAGCCTCAGATCCTCGACACATTCCCCACTCATGCACAGCCAACATGAGGATCGCCTGAGCCTTCTCCAGTGTCGGCGTCGCAAATGCGCCCCGTTTTTCGCCCGGCGCGTTGAGACTCGTGTCGTCATCGTTGTGGAGCCTGTACTTCAACGCCGACGCATAAAAGTCCGAAACCGCCGACGGCGTCGTCAGCGCTGGCGCATGGTACGCAACAAGTGCCGGAACGTGCCTAGCAGCCAAAGTCAATAGGCCCAACAATACCAGTGGTGAATGAGGCTTTTCGGGCGCCGGTGGTGTCGAGCCACTGCCGTTAGTGGTAGTTGATCCCGCTGTCGCAACGCGGAGACGCGACAAAAAGCTCGGCGGGTGCAGGAACGGCAGCGTGGGTGAGTGGTGCAATTGGAACGCCTCAAACTAAAAATAAATCAAACACAAAAGGGTCAACCAAGACTCTCCAACCAACAAAAAAAGGAGCCAGAATCGGGAAAAGCCGCAACAGCAACAACAGCATAACATACAACTTGGGTCCACGTCGTAGAGGTCAGGATTGGCGCGTCCAGAGCGTCCTTGAACGCCTTCGCACCCTGGTAGCTCGCCGGTCCTGGCGCCACGTTGCCGGCAGGAGCAGGCTTCTTCGGCTTTGGCTTTTTCGGGGCCTCTGCGCGATCGCCGGGCGTCCCGTGGTGCTGCGCTGCGGCTCCTCCACCGCCACCACCAGGCGCAATGTCTCTACTGGAGCCGCTGTTGCTAGTCCTGACGGCCGCCGTGCCAGACGAGACGCGAGGCGCACCGCTGACAACCGGCGGAGGGTAGGTACATTCCCTATTGCTGGCTTCGCAAGCACGACATGTGGTGTTTGGGCCAGTGTTGACACATTTCACTTTTGAGCGACGACACCGGACGCAGGCTATCGACGACCGCATGTTTGGGGTTCGGTCGCACGATGGCGGTTTTGTTGCTGTCTCCAGTGGTACGGTAGTGAGGGAAATCTACCAGAGTTTGTAAGTGCTGAGAAATTGGGGGGGGGGGGGGGGGAATGGAAAGGAAGGGTGGATGGGGGGGGGTGGTTAGATAAAGGAGAGGAAGGGAATGGGAAGGGAATGGGAAGGGAATGGGAAGGGAAGGGAAGGGAAGGGGAATGGGGGGGTGGAATACAATCCGTACCTTCTGATCGCCCGTTTGAGAAACAGACTTTGAATCTATTTTTTCGGCGGGTTCCAGCGTCGGGCCGGGGGGTTGGGCAGAGTGCTGAGTGATGATGGATGGATGGATGATGGATGGGGAGTGTCGGGAACGACGACGACAAGACAAGTGACAACTGATCTGATATAGAATAGATGTCCTGATGAAAGAATGATGACAGAAGCAGCAGTAGATGTCGACTTTTTTTTCTTTCTTTTCCGAAAGGTGAGAAAAGAAGGAAAGAAAGAAAGAGGGAGGGAGGGAGGGAGGGAGGGAGGGAGGGAGAGTGAGAATGGAGAGGAGTGAGAGAAAGAATGGATTGATGATGGGTGTGGTAGATAGATTGATTGATGGGAAAGAAGACAGTTGATTGATTGATTTTGGGGGGGGGGGGGGGTAGTAGTTGTTGATGTGAGTTGTTGGGTTGAGCAGCGGCGACGACGACGACGACGACGACGACGGGTGACGGGGAAGGCACTGGGACAGCAGGTAAAGGTAGGAGTTGGAGTTTTGGGGAAAAAAACTTGAAAGGGAAGGGACACGGAGAAGGGAAGTTGTCGGTGGTTGCTATGCTATGGCCAGAGGGTCAGGCGGACGCATACGGAGGACGCCTCCGGTTTTGGGGTCGGCAAGTTTGCTACGCGGAGAAGTCGTCCTCCCCTTCCTGAATCCTGAGTGTAAGTGATGAGGCAGTGAGCAGTGAGTTACGCGTGCCTAGTGCCTACCCAGATTCAGCTATTTCCAGCATTCATTTCTCAGCTAGGGAATACAGCAGCCAGCATGCGTCCTCTCTCTCTCTCTGCTGCTTTCTTACTCCGAAGTAAGGTTTTTCTAATACCTATTGCCTTTCCCTTGCCTCCGATCGCTCCTGCTGCTGCTGCCGTTGCCTCTCTTGTTCCTGTCTTCGCTTTCGCCTCACTCACAACCACTCAGTCAGTCAGTCACTCACTCAGTTCGTTCATGCAGACATCCATTCAATTCATTCCCAACAGGGTGTCTCTTGGCTTTTCCCAAAGGAAATCCATCTACAAATCTCAAGCCAAGTACGCCGGTAACTACATGTACAGTACCCTACTGTACCCATAATAAATAAATAAAAATAAAAATAAAATAATAACAAAAAGAATTCCCAACGACTTTGAGGAATCAGTAGAGTAGAATCTACTAATTAACCACACCCCTCCTCAAATTTCTCTGCTAAATATCACCTTCCATTCCCGCCCTGTATCTCCCTTTCCCTTAATCCTTCCTCCCTCGGTACTGTGCCTACCAATCCCTAAGCTTCGGCATTTCGGCTCACACCACTCTCGGTTGCCAGCATCGGCTATATCCTCCTCCTACCTCTCAACGTAACCCAGCCAGCCCTTTCCATCCACCTCAACCCTCATCACCAACCTACTCACAGCCACTCAACAACCCCTTCCTTCCTTTCCTTCCTTTCTCCTTCCTCCTTCCTTCCTCCCTCACACACACCCCCCAGCACCACAACCTCCACTCGGAGAAACAAACTAATTGGGACCACCCCGGAGCGGGCGGACGGGAAAGCAGTGGAAGGGAACTGCGTGCCGGTCGACGGAACAAGCCTTGGCTCTCACTACCGAGGGGAGGGGAGGGGGGCGCGGATTATCATCTTGCTTGTATGTATGTAGAGGTACCTTTAGGTACCACGATAGATACCTACCTGCTGCTGCTGCCGCCGCCCTTGAGATATATAATCCATATTTCGTGCTCCCTATTCATCTACCCACTCCCACTCCCACGCGCGCGCGCTCCCGCTGCGCGGCGGGAAAGCAAACCTCGCCGGATTGTTTCCCGTATGTACTATACTTACTGTACTGTACTGTACTATGTATACTCTACTCTACATTCCTCGTAATATGTGGCAACTCTGTATATAGAAACCGTAGAACAACAAAAACAGGTATCAGGTATCAGGTATCCATAACCCCCGGTAGGGTGAGAGAGGTGGAATGATATGCGCCGGAGCGATTCTCGCTCTTCGCTTTTCGCCCTCGCTCGCGGGTTGCCTTGCGTAGCTTGCTGGGGCCTTGGACAAGCCCCCGGAAGGGCGCACACCTCGGGATCTTCTGTAGAGTAACCCCTCCTCGATCCAATCCCCCATCCCCCATCCTTCTCCTTCCTCCTCCACAATAACAATATATACAGTACATACAAGGGGGGAAGGCACAGCTAGTATTAAATTGATTAAAAACCACATTTCCCAAGGCGTACAAACAAAAATCTATTTTTCGCCATGCATACCCCCCCTCCACTTTTACTTCCACTTCCACTTCCACCGCCCGGCGGCATCTTCTCCGTCCCCCATTTGTTTTGCAGCTCACCGGGTTCATGAACAACCACCTACCCACCTACCCACCTACCCACCTACCCACCTACCTACCACGACACTAACGGACGCGCGCGCGCGCCCGCGCCCCGGCCGGGTTGCTGCTGCGAGTGAGCGAGCGAGCGAGCGAGAAAAGAGCCGGCATGATGGAAACGAAACCCACTCCCCAAACCGGCGGCCCGGGTGGGGGGGGGTCTCACACACTTGCGAAAGAGTGGGATGTGGGATGTGGGTATGCGTACATACATTCCGTATCTCTGGTCTGTACTTTTTTTTCTTTACGACCGAAAAAAAAAAAAGGGAAAAGCAATGTTTTCTACTTGTATCTCCGACGAAGAAGGGGTGGTGGGCCGAACGTACAAAAATCGAAAAGGCAAGGGCAAGGGAAGGGAGGAGAGAGGCGAGTTCAGAGAGCAGAGAGCAGAGAGCAGAGCAGGGCGGAATGCAATCACCGACAGAACACGCATCATATCATGGCTGTTTCTGTGCTGCTACATGTACCCATCGGGATGATAGTTGCCGGGCAGCGCAGCGAACATCGCCGTCGCACAAGAAAGGGAAGTGGAAGTGGAAGTGGAGGGGGAAACCCTTCCCAGGCCTGAAGAAACTCTGCCGGCGACTGGTCAGGCGAATTCAGTCATTCACCCCCCTCCCCAGTAAAGCACCACACCGAATTTCCCGGACCGGCTATTTGCATTTTTCATGTTTCCCATTCCCGAGGTGCACGGGAAGAAGGTGAGGAGTGGAGTGGGAGTGGAGAGTGGGAGCGAAGTGGAGGGGGCGGACACAAGTGACAAGTGACAAGAAAAATCGTAAGATCTCGTAAGCAGCAACATCGAACTCGTAATGCGCGCGCAAATCACAGTAACCAAAAGTGTAAGTGGTGAAAGGACGAGACGACGTTGACTGACTGAAGTGACCTTCCATATCCTCTTCTCTTCCGTCTTCTTGACCGACTGACTGACTGACTGACCGTCACCGACTGACGCCCTTTGAATCCCTCACGTGCGTGCGTAATTCATTTCGTGGTTCGATCCGACCTTCTCTGGTCCAGCGTCAGTGATCAATCACTACTCACTCACTCTGATTCACCACATATGCATCACCACCCATCGGAATCTCGGAATCGCCGGGCCGACCGTTACTTCCGCGTTTCGTTTCGTTGTCACATTTTTCTTGGGGTCAGCAAGCAGCAAGGTAAAAAGTAGCTCCCCGGGGCGACGCCGCGCGCCCGCCAATGACAGTCTGGCACGCACGCTCTCACTCTAGCTCTCTGATCCCTCGCTGCTCTAGATCTCATCGGAAAAATAAATAAATATAAATAAATATAAATAAAAAAAAATAAAAAAATAAAAATAATTCTCTATCCCACCACGTCAAATCAAATCCAAAAGACACACACATTACACACACGTACAACACAAAACCACGTGTTTCCCTCTCTTCCTCTCCTCTGTTCGGGAATGCTGTTTCTCGTGATATGACATGCCATGATAAGCAGCCCTCCGCCCAGCCAGTCCACACAAAAAAAAATATAAAATATAAAATAAAATATAAAATATAAAAAAATAAAAAAAAAAGGAAATAAAGGCAAACAGAAAGAGCGAGGGGAAAAGAAAAGAAAAAAAAAGAACAGCAGCCCCGCCGATCGTAAGACCAGGTCAACGGAGAGCCGCGGTCGGCGTCATCATCGCTGGGGCCGTGGGCCGGATGCGTCCCGCCCGCCAGGCCAGAGCAGGCCAGGCCAGTTGCGTGGATGCATTCGGTGCATCCGTTCGGTTGGGGTGAGAGAGAGAGAGATGGGAAGGAGGGACAAGGAGAGGAAGGAGAGGGGTTTACGGGAAATTGAACATGGACAAGACAAGATTAATTCTGTTTGTCCCTTCGATCTTCTGTTTGGCTGGATTGTCGTCTTCTCATGCCGCAGGAGGGAGGGAACCTCACTGGAAATCGTATTTTGTATTCCCATACCACCTACATACCTAGCTACCAGCCGGGCTGGCTGTGGAACGGCGGAAATGTTGCCTACCTTACTTTACCTTACCTTACCTGTTCCTGTACCTGTACCGTATCTCCCTTTTTCCTGTACCCACGATATTGCGGGCGGGTAGATACCAGCATACATCCCGATAGAGTAGACAACCAGCCAGCCAGTTCAAAAAAAAAAAAAAAAAAAAGAGAAGAAAAAAGCAAAAATCTCCAAATAAAAAAGACACGATAAAATACGGCACTGTAGCTAGAGTCAGTAGGAAGAAGAAGGAAAAAAAAAACTGCCGGTACCTCCCACACATCCCCCCCCACCAACAACCCGGCTCACCGACCTGCCTAGAGTGCCCTACATAGCGTCGTCCACTCTACGTGGTGGGAAGCCGAAGGGAAGGGAACATCTCCGGCCTCTGCCCCTTCCTTCCTTTCCTCGCTCCCCTAGCTAGAGTAGCACCACTCCTACTGGCCAGCAGTGGGTCGTGATCAACTGCAACGGGTTCTTGGCCTCCTCCTCCTCCTCTGCCAGGGGTTGTTGTGGGCTGGCTGGCTGGCTGGCTGGCTGGGGTTAGAGTAGCAGCAGAAGATATCGGAGTACGATATCTCCGGCAACAGGTTTCGAACCGAAGTGCCGGAACGGGGAATGCTAACCTGCGGGAGCCCCGGTGTGCTTTTTGGGAGATTAGGGACAGGAGGACATGAGGACAGCAAACCTTTCGAAAGGGGGAGGAGGGTGGGCCTATGGCTGCTACTCCATCCCTTCGATTCCTCTCGGGTCCATGCAAACCCAATCATCATGCTACCGTTTGTTCACCCGGTGAAACGAGAGATAAGGGGGTGAGGGTACTTGTAGTGTAAGTACCGCCCTCCTCCTTCATCATCTTCTTTGTAGAACTCTGGTCCCGAGGCCACAATGCGCGGCGCGGGTCCAGTGTAGATCCTGTTGTGTGGAATGTGATCGAGATGGGGAGGATGATCCAACTGATCAGCGAGATCCTCTTGGATAGATAGTGTCTCGGAGGAGGAAGAGGGCAGTCGTTAGTTCCCTCGTGTCACGCGTCACGTAGTAGTGTTTTGTTTGCCCATAACGTGACCTGGATAGCGTAAGCACAGTAGTAACGTGACATCCCACTCCCGCGGTAAACGCAGCCCAGTAACTAACAGTTCAGCCCAGTCGATCAGTCAGTCACTCCGGATCCTTCCACCATACATCTATTCGCGAGTGATACCACATGACACACCCCCAAACACTCCCGCTCCCTTCCTTCTCCCACCAAGCAAGCCATCCAGCCAAGCCAGCCGCCGCCATCGGCCACAATAATCATCCCCATTCACCGCGCAAAAAGCAAAACCACAATGACGGGACCAATGCACACCATCCGAGACCTCCCTCATACGCCGCACACCCGGGAAGGGAGCCTTGCGAATTAAAGGGCCTATCCCCATCCTCCCCTCGTCTCTTCTCCTCGCAATCTGGTCAAAGCATTTTGAACCCCCCCGGCCCGAATATATAGGGGCCGCGCCGGGGTGGGCGTTCTAGAACGTGGAAGGTCTAGATTGTTTGTTTTTTGATCTCTGCCCTACACTAATTACTTCCTCCCCAGCTACTTTACAGCGCTTATGACGGTGGTTCGGTTGGGAGAGATGTCTCAATTTCGGGCCAAGACAGGAAAGCTTGTTAGGGGGCCCGGGTACGGAAACGGTTAGGTAGATAGACAACAGTTGGTCATGGTGTATCACTCGGTGTCCTCGTCCGGGCAGGCAGTGTACTAGCAAAGTCGCTTATTATATTGGTCACGTGGAGAGTGGTGAGAGTGCAAAGGATAGCGGATCTTTGGTTTTACCTTGAGCACCTCTAGCTCCAAAAGCACGTGAGCAATATAATATACGACATTGCTAGTAGATAGGCGTTTGAACCTTTTTTTTTTCTCTCAGACACTCGCTGGCTATGCGGTGTAGCGTTAGGGTGGTGGTGGTGTGCAACGAAGACAATGTGTGCTGCAATGCATGGCGGACGATGTTTGTTTGAAACATTGTTACGAAATCGCGATAGAGCATGCAGCGGCGCATGTGTGGTAATTATCGAGTTGCTGCTTTAGAGTACTGAGTACTTGGGACGCACAAGTAGGCACTGCGCTCCGTAAAGTCCAATTCATTCTGGAGGTTGTAACCTACATAGCCGCTGGTACATGTCTGTACTCACTGACGGATACGTAAGTTAAAGTTCTCAGTACTCTACCCTCGAGCATCAACTACACATCGTCCCATTTAGTGACATGAGAGTTGTAAAAAGCAAGATCCACATGTACAACACTCGAGTATGTATTTATTTCTGACTGTTCGACCAGCGCACAGACCTTTCTTCGGAAGCTGGTTAGTTGTATGTCACTTTGGTTGGGTTGGTAATAATCGACGACAATAGGCTTGAGGATAAGCCCTATCTTGACCGGCTGAAATTTGCTCTTCAGTTATAGAAACCTCGCCAATGATTGGATCATCGAGAGAAGTTATTTTAAACAGGGAACGTCAAAAGTTAAAGTGTGCTTCTGGCTTGGAGGTGCAGATTAATATTAGAGTACTTACAGACTCTCGTATCTGCGAAAAGATTTAAACGACTTTGTTTAAAACAGATAAGACATATCATCACCGGCTTTGCCCTGACTATTTCCAGAGGGGGGCATGATATAAATTGATTTAAATTGATTCTGCAGGATAAATTTTTTTTCCAACACCCTCAAGACGATTGTAGATCTCCCTCGGGGGTTATGTACTCTACTTAGATATGTATCACCAATCATTTAAGCGATATATGCGATATATGTGATATATATGACAGGTACTTTCTTTCTTAAACCTGTTTATTCTGCACCCTTCATCTTGGAAACAATCCGCGGGACAATTTGATGGGATGGTGGGGAGTAAATTGGGTTTTGATATGATAACAATCCCCGCTATTATAATATAAGAGGGTGGCCAGGTTTCGTATCAAGCGTCGTGATCGATCGTCCGTCTGCAAACATCCCACAAAATCACAAAATCTCCAATATCTTAAGAAATTTCCCCTCAACATCATACCAATGTCGCTTCCAGGCTATGCTTTAATCACCGGTGGAGGTAATTTGCACTCAACTCATTCATTGAACTTCGACCCCGCTAGTGTTGTACTCACATGGTTCTTCCTAAATAGGTGGTGGAATCGGCAGTGCCACCGGCAAGATATTCGCCCGCGAAGGTAGCGCCGGCGTAGCATTCGCAGACATAAATTTCGAAACCGCAACCACTGCAGCCGAGGAATCAAAAAAATACGCCACAAACCCAGCCTATAGAGCAATCGCAATCCATGTCGATGTTGCCGATGAAACGAGTGTAGACGCAATGGTCGAGCAGGCAGTGAAAGAGTTCGGGTCACTCAGTTATGCTGTCAATTCGGCGGGTGTGAGTTTTACGGATCGGGTATTGATCTCCCCATAATGCCTCTTTCATGTATCGGTTTTCACTCAATAACGTCGTCTAGGTCGGCGGGATGCCAAAACACTCGGAAACAAATCTCGGCAACCTCTCCACACAGGAATGGGAACGTACCATGAACATCAACGCCCGGGGTGTATTTTTCTCCCAGCGCGCCGAGATCAGTGCTATGCTCAAGACCAAATCGAACAACAACTACCCTGAAAACCTCTCCATCATCAACATCTCCTCCATTGGCGGGCTGCGAGCGCTCGCTCCATATGCATCTGCCTACGTGCCGTCAAAACATGCCGTCATTGGGCTCACAAAGAGCGCAGGTATGTCATATTCCCCATCCGCCCCAACCAGAGCCTATTCTGATAGTAGTTCGATTTAGCCTTTGAGCACGGTCCCGACGGAATTCGGGTCAACGGGGTGTGCCCAGCGTTCATCGAGACACCCTCAAACGCTGGAAACGCCGAGATAGCAGAGCGGGTAAACAAGCGTATGGAAAGATCTGCACTGAGGCGAGTAGGGAAGCCGGAGGAAGTCGGCGAGATAATTGCGTTCTTGAGCTCTGAAAAGGCCAGCTTCGTTACCGCAGTTGATTGGGCAGTTGATGGAGGCTATACTGCAGCTTAGGTATCGTGATAGGTGTGGTGATGTACTATGTACTTGTAGCAAGAAATAAGTAAACTTGAGGGTGCCAGATTTGTATCATGTATCGCTATGTAGAATGGACATACATGAACAATCATCCCGTCGAGTGTTCTATTCTGCCGATGAAGTTCCGTATGGATGGGGCCCTGGTTGCGGCTACCAATCGATATCTAACCGGTTGTCATGCTATCCCTGGAAGATGTGCAGCTCGTGGGGTGCATGCATGGCGCGGGGTCACGGATGTTTCGGATTTACTATGATTCTTGACTTTAGCATCGGGCTAAACCGTGGTTGAATTCTGAGAGAGGATGCGGTAGATAAATGGATTGGCTCAATCATGATCGAAGATGTAATTGTGATGGGTGGGAGCAAGCAGGAGAAGGAGAATGGGCTTCTGTAGAGTAAGTGGGCCTAGACTTGATTGTACGTAGTCTATGTAGGTACAGTACCTACATATATCATGTGTAAATACATGTATGGACACGTCGCATTCTCTGCCGGTACCCTTCTTTGCGTTCTGAACCAAATGTGCAATCTTAACCCTAACCCTATATAGTAACATTACAAGTTTGAATTATGATATTGAGCAAGGGTCTTCTAGCCACCGTTAAAATTACCCAAGTACATACACGTATGTACCAAATACCGAGCAGTAAGTTTAAGCCTTAGCCAATCATGCCGAATCTCGAAAAAAGGAATGTTCGATTGCACGGGTATGATTCACTAATTGTGTGAAGCCCGGAGCTAGGCTATACATGACAATCGATTGCGCGGGTAGCTACAATGCGAGAAAAGGCTGAAAAATTCAAACCAACATACGGGTAACGGCAGTAGGGCAAGTCAAACAGACGAATTCAAGCCAAGAAGCAAACAAACCAGACTACAGAGTGGTCGATTAGTAAAATGATGGATTTATAAACATCCACCAATGGTCCTCTGCTCTCCTTCAATAACCCTCAGGCCATATCTGACCTCCCGAAACTTATCCTTCCAGCTTCATGGAGCCAACCCAGGAGTTCATCTCCTGCAACCCCGGGCATGTTCAAACCTCACCCGGCAGCGAGGCCTCGCCCCCAAGTTACCAGCACATGTCCTGATATGATATGTGGTGTTTGAAGTCCAGATTACATCGAAACTGGTAGGCCGATTACCCAAGATGTAGGCTATCGTCGACTTTATGTGCTAATATACTACTTGTAGGAGATCATTACTACCTGGAGGTTGGGGAATTTCTGTCGGATGCGGTTCGATCAGGCTCGGAGTTACTGGAGGTGAACTCCCGGACTGATTCCATCAAACCGGGAGGATTTGGGTTTTGGGAGGGAAGTGGGTAGTTGGGGAGTTTATAAGGGATGGTGCTTGAATATCTATTAGATAAATAAGAGAACCGCGTTCTGTCCACCCGTGATGTTTCCATAATCGAGTGATTGTTCATGACTATGTAGTACGATGGGCCAAAAGATTCACCAAATGGAAGGGTGAGTTCAGTACCTGGGATTCCCACATGGTCACCCAATGCAGTACTAACCAAGCGGTATGATACTTGTGTATGGCAGAGCTAACGGGATACCCAATCCTCATCATTCTATGACTGAACACAAAATACTGACTGTTTGAGGGATTTTTCTTTTTATTATACAGACTTCTACTTGGTGGTCGAACTGATGATACATCTTGAAAAAGGATTCGGGTTCAAATCGATGAGTTTCCTTACTCATTTTGGTGGTCTTTTGTGGGTAAGTGATATCTCTGGCTGGTACGTATGCCAGTGTACAACTACTAGTAGCTGGACGAGACGGGCCGATGACGGGAAAGTTCGGATACTTCTCGGGCCGCGCGGTCTTGGAGACCGAGCTAGAGGCGACCCCCCGTGTGGTCTTGGGTGCTGCGAGTACTGCGTGTTGAATATAGGGTGGTCGAAAGTGACATACTGTGTACTTTTACTGACTACCGTGGTATTGGTTTCATTATACAAGAAATGTATACATACATGTACACAGTAGCTGGTACAGTTAAAGCTCAGAGTAAAGATCTCCTTGAAGTCACACTCACAGATTCTCCGTTTTTTTATTGCATCCACTGATGCTTCATGATCAGCCCTTCGATTTTGGCTCCGGCGGACCATCCGTTTAATCGTCGTGAGTAGATATAACAATTCCACCAGACCTGTGCTAATGGCTCATAGATCTTCCTAACCCCTATTTATAACCAACTATCTGCGGGGCACAACGGTGTGAATTCCGTGAGGCCAGTCACTACCGGACTGTTTGGGGCCTGCCAATATGGTCAGTATAATACCTCGCTCCCGTTCTAATTCGGTAGCTGATATGGCCTCGGTGGTGTGCACGCATGGTATATATGGCTATGGGAGACGATGAGTGGCTAGCTGTCGGAGGTGGTGTCTCGTTGACTGGACAAGCCGATCAAGAAGCTCGGATTCTTGGCAATTGGTGTTGGCAGGCTTTGGGTACATGTATGCTCTGGCCGTACTTAAGCTCAGGTCGATAGAAAATGGGAGTTTTGAGTTCTTTGGATCGAAGTGTTCGTTCTATCTATCTACTTAAGGTTCTCATTGATCTGTTAGTAATCCTTAGGAGCTAGCTCCCCTATCGATGCCCATCCCCTATTCCCCGCTTAAAGCCTATCGCTAACTATCGCCTAGGTGGCCGAGGCTGGATGCAATATCAATCACTTGTTATTCAGAACATTTCACGCTCGACTAGGCCATTAGGAACATTTACCAGCATCGAGCATCGGCAACGCACGCAGCTCGGCCAAGGCTACTGCCCAGCTCAAGCAACCCCGTGACCCCACTCTGGCCCGAGAAAGCGATCAAGCAAAGGAAACTGTCTACATGTAGTAATATGGAATAGAGCATACATTACAGCCAACAAACACACATCACGCCACACCACTTCATAACAAATCTCAGTCTCAGTCACAGCCCATCACTCTGGCAGTCTCACTCCGGCATGTGCCGTTGAACAAAGAAGCATGACACCACGTGAGTGCAAGCTCTACATTATATGACGATCTATACAAAGTCACTAATTCAACGCCTGTACAAGGAGAATATATAGCTCAAACAAAAAAAACAGATGGAAACCTAAGCGCCGTCCGCCGCCCTCCGCTGTAGTACTGGTACATACAGTCTACAAAATCAAATCAAACCCAAATTAAACCAATCCCCGAAGCGCCCATAACTAACAATATGGAAACCGAGCCGTCGATCGAAACGCCAAATAAGACCACTACGACTCAAGTTAACCTCCACCCCGGATCAGAAATACAATTCAGGATATACCTTCAGCAACCCCTAAACCAACCACCCTATGCCCACAACCCCGCCGACGACCCCGCAACTGGTGTACTCCCCTCTTTCACCTTCCCAACGGCCACCACAGTCTCAACACTAGCATTCGCACTCGGCGCTGCGCTGGCCCACCACTCAGTCTCCCGCCTCAGCAACGGCCTCTCCTCGCCGTCCCCGTACTCGGACGACGACGACGACGAGTCCGCTACATATCCAGCATCGTCCTCCTCTAGCCTTCGGGGGCCACTGATGTCGGATGCATAACGGCGCATTGGTGGCCGGGCGGGGGCGCCGCACATGTAGCTGGTGAGTGTATGTAGAAGCGAGAAGAGTGAGGTGCACATCTTTGTTCTTTGATCTGGTTGGAGCTTTCTTGCAAGCGATGAACGAAGCACGTAAAAAAGATCGGACGGGGAAGAAAGAGATGGAGGGGAAAAGTGTAAGTGCTGGTTACTTTGTTATCTTAATATTGGATTTTTTTTTTCTTTATCTGCCCATGGGCAGTTGTGTGCTGCGCCCTCACTGACCACCGCGGCTAGGTTTTGCGGTACTGATACCTGCCTTCCTGCATACTTGTTTTATTTTATTTTATTGCACGCCTTGTCATAATAATAATAATAAGCGTGGTGGTGGTCAGGCTCAAAACAAAGAATTCAACTTATGTCTCCGCGTGAGGGTTCGTTACACACACCTGTACAGTCACGTTCGCGCGGTCTCACATGATATTGCCTCCCCCGCTCTCCCCTTAAATTCCTAAATCTCCATTTCGCTCTACAAACATATTTCATATCTGAACGGGAGTACATAGATGTACATGTAGGTATCTACACAGCCCTTCAAGTCCATGACGACTTTTCATCTCATCTTTTCTTCTCGTGGCTAATTCAAATGATGTGTGACTCACTTCGATTCAGGTACCACCCCCCTCCCTCTCAGCTTGCCCCCTTTCTCCCCTCGGTTACCATGATCCCTGCGCAACATCAGGAACATCGATTTCAGCGAGATGTGAGTACATATGTACTCTGGAGCTGTGATATAGGTGCATGAAGTAGGTACGAGTAGAGCACATCATACAGCTGCTCATGTGGATCATAGGATGGGTTAGGGTTCGGGCGCTGCCGGCAGGGACGGAAAGCTTATTTTAGTGGTGGTGGTGAATGAGTTTCAAGGATAAGCGTCCGAAGAGACTAGAGTATGGTACATGCAATCAACTGGAATACGTTTGATAATGAGGCGTAGATTGATAGGGGATGATGGGGAGGGTGGTAAATTAGATTATGAGATGGTTGATGCGGATTGTAAGAATTTAGTAGGGACTGACGCCGCCAAGACAGGACTGGGTTAATGCGGTTACGAAGAGTATAATGCGAAATGTTTTGGATGAGGTTTATGGAAACGAGCCGGTTAAATTATTAAGACCGATGGATTTCCTTTCGAGGCTGATGTTCTTACAAGCAGTTCCACAGCGTTCCCGATCGAAGTATCCTGCTGTTTTGTCCGCATGGGACGAGGCTGTCATAGAGACTGGAGTTTGAGTTAATTGCCATTATTTTCTCGGGGTTCAGACCGCCTAAGACGAAATATATGACTGTCCTTCTTTGCTCTGTGGACTCAAAGTGAGGTGCAGGAAGGAAGGGGTGGGGTGTAGTCCACACCCAACATAGGCTTCATGAGGATATGTCTAAGGGAAGAAAGCGGTGGATGTGGATAATGGTGCTTTATATATGACTTGGGATATGCCCAGCTACAAGCAGGGGGGTCGAATAGGCCCTTTAGTAAACCTGCAGCTTTTCTATTCGTTGCCTACGCTGTACAGTACGACCGTCTATACGGCTGAAACTGCCTATTAAGTACTGGGGATATCTATGAATATTAGGTTGATCTATTCTGGACATGAAAGTGTAAAAGCTGAGTCTTGTTATATAAGCTGATTATGAAAGCTGATCCCGAGTTTAATTTAGTGTTAGTCAATCAGCATGAGTGAGGGACGCATCGATCAGATCTCGTGATGGCGTAAAATCTGTGAGTCACGAGATTCTCGGCGTGCCCTAGTAAATCATCCAGCTAGTTGATCCATACCTATGGTGTCTGTACATGCTTCCAACACTCATTCAGACACTCGGACACTTCATCAAACTGCCAACTCAGTCTGACAGCTCCACGGTACTAGCCAGCAAGCTCATACAGGGGGTTCCTATTCCAGTCACTCGGTCCGTTCGGTGGCTACTAGCTAGTACTTTGTTAATACTGGTCTGTTTAATTAGCAGCTTGAGTAATTATAACAATTTTATCAATCAACAAGTCGAGGATTCGAAAGAAGGCTTTTTCTTTGTCATAGTTCGAATCTGGACGAATTAAAGTCATCGAGGCAACTTGTTTTTGTAATGCTCATCCCAGTTATCACCACAACCATCATCATCATCATCCTTCCGCCACTAGTATCGAATCATCTCCATCATCTGCCCCATCGCATTATTTTCGTCTCCGAGATTGGCATGTTTGCTGGATCGAATATGCGCCGCTAGCACAGTACTGCTGCTGTGCGTCTCGCCGATAAACCCCTCCATCATCTTACACCCGGCGCCCCCACTGATTACATAGATCCAGCGCCCCCCCCAGTCGTCAAACTTGTACTTCCAATTTTGGGATACGATACATACGACGTGCGCCGCGCGCGCCGGATGTGGCGCGGGGTGAAAATGTGTCATGGACCTGTCCTGCCTGTCGAGTAAGAATACGTGCCGTCGGTTTAAAGTTTGGGACTAATTCCGTGGGTTAGGGGGGAGGGCATCGCGCTAGTGGGGAATCAGATCATTAGCCGAAGAGTTAGTTCACTTCATCTGTTCTTTCTGGGCGTTTTCCGAATTGTTCTATGGCGGATGAGTTCAGAGACTTTTTTGGGGGCGAGCGTGGAAACCTACTCTGCAGACATTGTCGCGCGCAAGTTCCTGAACGCAGGGTTTTCGACACCTGGAAGGAAAAAAAAAACCTGTCGCTCAATGACACATTGGATTGCCGCCACATTCTCCAATTACAATACTTTACTCGGATACGTACCGATAGCTAGATATGCAGAGTTCTGCAATTAATGGCTGCTGATACAAGAAAAGCTAAAAACCGCGCAGCGAGTTGGTAGTCATGGGGTACGTTCACCATCATGGCCACCGGGAGCAGCAGCAGGTTAGCCAAGCCAAGCCGGGGTGGGGAAGGAAGTCAAAACAAGGTTTCGCCATCATGACTCCTCTTTCAACCAATTCGAGGCTGCGCGCGGACCCAGCAAACTCATTGCTCAACCAGATTGGGACCCGGGCGAGCGTCTGGCATCTGAAAGCAGATGCTCCTGTCCGTGGTGTGGTGGTGATGACGTGTGGCGCGGGCGCAATGTGGCAAATGAGAAGGTGGACGCCCGGAAATGATCGTTGGACAGTTTCGGTGTTGGCTGATCGATGTGTTGTCCCATAGGGCCGTGAGGGAGGTCCTGGCTCTCGTGTACTAACTACGTACTGAGTACATGATGTATGTAGGCTGTGTGTTGTAGCTTTTCGCACTTCGAGGTGAGTGAGCTGTGAGTGACTGAGTACGTGAGTGATAAGAATATCTCCTCGTGCTCACAGAACATCACTCGCCTCGCCTCACCTCGGTACCGTGTCCACTTATTTAACGTATCCAAAAGAAAAAAAGATCCGGCTTCTAGAAGGATGCAAAAGAGAACAGTAGGAGTAATGACATCCAGCACTGCCCTCTCCCCATGCTTTTATTTTCAAGTTTTTCCGAACAGCCCTCCTGACCAGTGACCACCCACCGACTTCACAGGAGTCAGTTCTGAACGGGGACATGCGCATATACGTGACATGATGACTAATTATTTCATCCATCTCGATGTGTTGGCGCCACCATGCCTCCACCACTCACACCACTGGAATCGCGAGGCGGAGTAAAAAAAAAACCTGAATTGGGGGGAGGGGGTCAAGACCCTTTTTTTCTTGGGAGTCACCAATAGTCACCCGGGATGGTGGGTGGTAGTTACCGGACAGCTACAAGCTGTAATCTCTCACTCGTGCAATTAACGGGTACGGGCGCGTATCTTCATGGTTACCGCTGCCTACCGTGCGTCCCTCAGTGCCCTCACACCCCCGTGTTTCGTTTCTAAGGTTCCGCTCTTGCGTACCATCACCACCACCACCATCAACGATAAATGATCCCTGCACAATGCAAAATAGAGGTTTTAATATCTCACGCCTCAAAAGCACCTCTTTGCCCGCCCTCTCTTTTTTTTCTTTCCAACCTCCTCAATTCCTCAACACTCTACTTCTTCAATCAACCGGAGAAAAAATCTCAGAATAACTACTAGCAGATGCACTCATCCTCTTCACTAACTTCTTCCCCCTCCTCCTCCTCTCCCTACCACCACTACGACCACAACGATCAGGTTATCAGCCCATTCGCCTTTTTCCACCTCTTTGCAATGCCATCGTCCCTCCTCCCATCCCCTCCCGCGTCCCCGACCCCGCAGTATCCACCACCCGGACAGCAGCAGCAGCCGTCGCGCCGCAAAAGAGCAGCATTCAGTTCCGGTAGGGTTATCCCGTCGCTTCGCAGGCACGAAACAATGCTGTTTGGAGACCCGTTGAAGACTGTCCCATGCCAGAGCCAGGATAATTGTAGTTTTGACAGCTTGAGTGGTAGTAGCACCAGTAGTGGGAGTGCAGATACCAGTCAAGACAGCATCAGAACTGAGGCATGTTGAAACAAGAGGAACAGTCCGGCCAGGCAGGTGAGGGGGGGATGGGGGTTTCTCTATGGTTTCATGGGGGGGGCGCCTGGCGCTGGGTTTGGTCTTTGACTTGGCTTTTTCGGAGGCGGATGGATGATGGGTGGATTGGGCATGGCAGGATACTGGAAAACATATTTGTGAACCGACTGGTCGGAAGGGGCAAAAGGACGTTCGCGATGCCTTCAACTTCTTTTTTTTTCTCTTTACCGTTGCGACCGTTGAATGTACCGATCATCATACAGTAACTACCTTACCTATTCACGAATTGTTCTGTTACCTACCACCATCATCATCTACCAACAATCCATCCATACGATATCCTCCTAGCTACAAGCAAGTCCCTCAGCCCTCACATCTACGGCCCCTCACCAACCTCGCCTCCCAGAGACAGGATTTTCCGGGCGGCGGCGCGGTGTGTGTGAGTGTGTGAGTGAGTGTGTGGGAAAGAAGATCGGAATTATCTCCTCGGCCCGTCCGCCACACCGGTCGCGTTCTCCTGAGTCTTTAGATTCACGGTCGCGACGTGGCCAAAAAAGACGCGGAGTCACGCGGGGCGAGGGGAGGGAGGAGTCATCGTCGTCGCGTCGGCTTAAGTGGATTTTAAACCGTCCGTGCGTGGGGTGTGGTACGGTACGGGTGCTCTAGCCGAAGACGGTTAGCTGCCCCACTCCCACTGTCAGCGAGATAATTCAAAGAGCAGGATACGGGGGACGGGGGGACGGGGGACGGGGGGAGAGAAGTTTTATTTTACTGTTACTATTATTATTCTTGTTTGGGTTAGGGATACGGGGGAATTGTTTTATTTCTTTGGATTAGTTTTGTTTCTTATGGGGTTTGCCGTGGTGGATCTGTGTTGCGCTTTTACGTATTAATTTCGTTTTTTTTCCTTCTTTTGTAATCATTTGCTTTTAAATTTGTTTGGCTATATAAGGGAATTTCTTTCTCACTTGTCTGGTGGTCTGGTGCTCGGTTTCGGTTTGCATAAGGTCTCGTTTTTAAATTTTCCTTCCGGGGGGGCTATTGTGTTTTTTTTGGGTTCCTTATTAATTCCTTTTGGCCGGTTGCATTGTAACTAACATGTACTACTTCTACTACTACTACTACTACTACTACTACTACTATTACTACTATCTACTACTACCACTTGTACTATAGCTATCACACTTATACCTTTATCTTCACCCTTCATTTGGAAATCACCTTCGATATCAATCTCTTTCCTCTTCTAGAACCGTGCCACATTAACCCCAAGACTGTGTCTCTAGCTACAGAACTGCCAACTAACACCCCACCGGTATCAGCCCACGACCCACTACCACGCGCCGGTGGTAGCTTATGAAGCACGTAGCTCGATCTGCGGGGTAGGAATATACCGCAGGCTCACGGAACACAATCAATCCTGAATCGAGATGGCTGTGGATCTCTGTGAGGGGGGCCTTGCTTAATTACGAGGTGGGTACTACTAGATGATGACCAGTCAGATAAGTGGGCCACTACATACATACTCACTTGGTACGCCCCGGCCCCTAGAATAGCTAGGTTATACCTGAAACAAGTGTGTAATCAGCACACAGGGCAGGCTATATTCCAGGGCTGGTTACGGGGCGGGTTTAAATATAGCCAGATAGCTGGCTGGTTACGTAGCTAAGAAGGGGAGGACGGCCGCATTTTCGATATGACATTGATCCGGGCAGTGGGTATATATGTGTATGGCCGAGAATCTGCTCGAATCAGAGGCTATTGGCTATTAACAGCCGCCCGGCCGGCCACAGGAGGCCGGGCCTATGATCGGGGGAGCTATTGTGTGGCTACGCCGGCAGTTTCACGTACCCGCTGGAAAAATATGATGGGCAGCCCTGATCTTGATCGGACAGGGCCCGCATGCTGCTAAAGAGTCACCAGCCATGAATGTATGACGTGACACGGCCGGTGTCGGGTCACGACTGGCGCGAGGGGTACGCGTGTTTAGAACCCCCCGGGCCCGGCCAGTGACCTTTAATCGCCGTGGGGTAGTATGTACGTGGTACGGTACGTAGTGGTGGTGCCGCTTTGAATAGGGAGTATGGCGCGCCACAGTAGTCTACTGTTTGGTGTGGGATTTGCACTGGGGTATGTGGTTTGCTTAGTGTATTTGCTTGTTTGGTTTGGGGGTTGTGACTTGGGGGACACTTTTCATGCATGAAACATCACTCGGAAAACGTTGGGTGACTTGTGCCAAGGAGAAATACGACAGCGAGAAATACGACAGTGAGAAACTCGAGGTGCTGTAATGTCCCGCTATCGAGTTGGCTGGAGAGAGGAAGGGGGACATAGACCTTGCTCGGTAATGTGTATTTCAAGTAGTGACTTTGACGGGCGACGATATCATGTCACTTACTAACCCATGGAGTGGGCGTGAATAGGTTTTCCACTATTTAAGAGGAATATCTGGATATCTTGATAATAGGTTGACTAATCGTAGCTAGATTAAGTGTGTTGGAAATAATGGAGAGGGTATGGTGATTTGTTGCGGAATTGGAGTCACTGATTATCACTCGATCCGGTGTTTCTTGGCGTTGAGTTGGTTATTGGGTTCGAGTTGTGGGTGGTTCTCTTGATTACAATCGGATACCTTCAGGAGGCGTTGGGATGGCGGGGTTGAAGGGTTGATCTCGGTCATTTTGTGATGATGTGAGTGATGAGGATGGTTTTTGTATATGTGAATGGGGGGTGGGTTCGTGGCCTCTTTAATCTTAAAAAATAGTCTCGAATTATTTGATAAGATAACTTAATCTCTAGTATCTTCCAGATTATCGTGATATCGTAAGGGGATGGTTGGGCGTGGTCGATGGCACTCGATTAATTGCGACTTCGGGGATATCACTTTTATTCAGATTCCCAAAAGTTCAAACCCGTTTGCTATATACAGATGTACGAGGGAATATAAATGATCGCTAATCCGCAGATAACAGTGATCCTCAAATATCTTAGAATACCCTTTTCACCTTTGTTGTCTAGCAAGCCAATACTTTGGTGCGGTTGAACGGAACACGTATGTACAAGGCGGGCCGACAGTGCTTATGGGTTTATACATCTTAACCAACGAAAGAGCACTCCAGGAAAGGTCAGTAGAGCAGAGCCGGAAGGGTCGGCGCAGCTGGGCATAGAAACGGTGAACATTAGGGAGTAGGATGAGGACGACCAGTGTAAAAATCGGTCATGTGGAGTGAGGTGTCATTGTATATAGAGTAGTTTTGCTGAATGTTTTCCCTATTTTCGGTGATAGGAGTTTGATCTAGGTCTGCTTTCCACACCTAAGGCTTGGTGTTCCTCTATCGTCGTATCTCGGCTAAGGACCGTTGCCACCCGGCAATTAAATATCCCTGTCATGAAAACAGTATATCGAGTGATGACTTGTGAAGGAAACTCAAGCCATTATGGCCGAGTGGTCTAAGGCGGCACATTTAAGTTTCTCATTTGAGAAAAACCTGTGTTATCGAAAGATGCGTGCGTTCGAACCGCACTGATGGCAGATAAATATATCATTTTTTAAATTTTGTGATGCACTACTTGTCAGATCCGTGTTTGCGAAAAAAAACACTGCTACTCAGTTGGTGGGGAGAACTGGTGGGTGTATAAATAGTAGAGAGGTGTGAGGTGGGGGAGATGCTTGGAATGTTGGAATACTTGCTTGGCATTTGATATGTTTGACTTTTAATTACAGGGATGCTTCTTTCCTAGTTCCAACCACTTCGTGATTCAAACAACATTGGTGTTCGGCACTACTACGTTACGAAGGAACTTGAAGGCGTATCAGCACAGCGGAGTACTACGAGGAGCACTGTGTTAATAAGGACATACCAGCGTAATAATCTTTCCTCACCATGCTTCATCGTGTATGTATTCATCATCTCGTTCCTTGCACTATCACTGACGTGGCTGGGACATCGACAGTTTCCACTACGATAGTATATAACTACTGCTTCATCAAGGGGGTATGAAGGAGCACTGTGGAATCTCGCCGTAGCATGGGATGTGGCATTCTGGCCCATTCTTGAAGGTCTGTATTCCTTAATCGGCAGTGAATGGCTCCCACGGTGGGTGGATATGGGGGGCTTTTGATAGCTGGGATAAGGCCATTTCGGAAGAGACAGACGCCCATGAGTATGCGAGGGCGGTGCACTCAGGGGTTGGGTCTCTTTCGCCTCGAAGAAAAAGAGAAGATAGGAATTTCTTCATACTGTACAGCACAAACAATCACTCGATAAGTGGAATTCCGAAGAATATTTGATCATGAAGACTGGCATTACACTCATTATTTTCATATACAATATTAACGTAAAACATTAGATTAGGAAACATGGATGCAAAGACATTTAACCCCACATTCTCTTCCGGAGTCTTCCATGTGTCGCGCCGACCTTGTTCAGCTCGAACTCCATCGCGTCTCTCTTGGCCAACGTGGTGCCATCTGACTCCATGCAGTTGAAAAGCACACAATCACCCAGGTTGTGCGCCGCCATTCTACCCTCAAAGAATGCACCGTGGAGATATCCTAATAGATTTAATCAGCATACCATTCATGTCAAAGGGGAAAAGTAAACCCAAAACTCACCAAAGTACTTCCTGCTTGTGTGCTCTCCTGCAAAGAACAACCTCCTCTCTGTCTCCGCGTCTCCACCAACCGGGGCCCTCATATCATCCTGCTGCTTCACAGTAACACCCGCACCCCAGTTGGTGAATGTGCCTCTAAACAGGGGGTCGAGAGTCCACCTTGGGAAGGTAAAGTCAATTGGGTCTGGAACATTCTCGGCACCGTACATATCCCGCAGAACAGCCACAAAATCGGCCTGGACCTCTTCGTCAGTCTGCAGTTCCGCATGGTAGGCAGCGTCGGAGGTGAGGGTTGCAAAGATCGATTTGGATCCTTCGTAGAAACCGGGGGCATCAAGCGACTGCCAGACAGCGTAGTAACCACGCTCATCAGCATCGGCATACAACGCAAACTCGGTGTCGTTCCAGAATTTGGTAGGGAACTTGGCGAAGATCTTCATGTAGGTTGCGAGATGGAAATTGGCGATGGCATCTTGTTTCCAGTCAGGCAGCGCAGGCTCGAATGCTACGTCGTCGTGCTGGAGAACTCCCAATCTGATGTGTGTTAATTTGGGATCATTCTAGGGGATTCTTTATAGAGTTAACTTACGAGAAGGTGCAAAGCGCATACTCCGCGTTAACCGTTAATCCACTGGCTGTCTTCACCGTAACTCCGTCGCTTCTGTACTCGATGGTCTCCACAACCTCATTGAACAATACCTTATCCTGAAAATTAGGAATCTCATCACCATATTTGATGATCACCTGCTTATAGCCGCCCTGGTCAATCACCAAGTGATTGTCAGAGTTACCAAACTCGATAAAAGTCTCATTATAAACCTCGATGGTACCGATAAAGCTGCTCTCCACTGGTGGCTCCGCTTGTTCCCAGTCGTGACTGAAGTACTCGGCGGCTCTCTCCTCAGGCGTCAATGGGTTCCATCCTGCAACCCTCAATCCTGCCTTCATGGACAGATCAGGGAGGCCCAACGCTTTACGTCTCCCAGCATCTGCGGAGGCTTTGATGAAGACATCTTCCTCATACCTCGTTAGCGCCTGGGCGAGGCTGCCGGTTTCATCCTGCCATCCATCCTCGGTGAAATAGTCAATGTTACTCCAGTTTGAGTATCGGTTGTTGATGCCATACTTCTGGGCGAGTGTCCAGATGGGATTTGTGCCCAGTCCTTCAACCCAGTTTGCGCCGAGCTCGATGTTGAGGTCACCAATCTTGCCCTGTTGAACACGGCCACCGAGTTCGTGACGGGCCTCAAGGACAAGAAAGTCGGTGATGTTTCGATCAATGGCTAGAGAGTGAGCCGCAGATACACCGGTCATTCCACCTCCTAGAATTAGGACGGTGGTGTTGAGGACGCGCTCATCGCGGGGACGGAGGGCGAGAGTTGTGAGAGGGAGGAGTGATAGAGGGAGAAGGGAGAGGGGGAGGATAGAGCGGAAATGCATGATGGGAGATGAGGTGGGTGAGTCCGAGGCGTTGAGACTGACGCTGGGGAATGAAGTTCCCAGATGAGGAGGACTATGGAGTATTAAATAGAGACTCAGAAGAACTACCAGTAGAGAAATTGAACCATTTATGGATTGGATTGATGAATGAATTGTTGCATCGCTCACCCCCGGGTGCGCGAGATATCGTGCAAAGAGATGCCATTGGTGCCACATCAGCGATGACAGAACTCCACTTCCTCAAAGGGTACTCTCCCGCCGCTCATTGTGCCGCTAGAGGAAATCTGCGGTATCCGCAGTGCCGTCGGGTATCATGAGATTTGGGCCTTACGACAAGGAATACAAGCTAGGTATGATACAATAGACACTCTAAACTCCTTGTAATTCAATCGTTGAATGACATAATGTTCTTAATCACCGGAATAGGAACATGAATCTTTTTTTTCGATAGACATCGGGTTTACAATAGTCAAGACACAGCTTGTGGTCTCAGCACAGCGCTAGACCTGACAACAACGAATACCCAAGAAGGATAAGTTTTGTTGTGCCTTAGAGACGCCTTGGTTTCTATGGGATTTTCAGTGTTTAGCAAGGATTGACGACATAAGGCAATGGTTAGCTACTCGTATTTCACTGACGTTTTTGAACTGGGCCATTATTGCATACACCCAAAATCATGAGCTTGGTGTATTTTTGTATGGCATGCAATATCAGTCGCGTCCACAAACGTCAGTGAAATACGAGTAGAAGCTCATGCATGGTATAAACTACCGAGTAGTTGCTGCAGGAATAACTGGGGTAGGGTACCTACCTTCGTACCTAAGCCTAGAGCCTTTCCAAAGAAGAGAGATTTAGAGATACTTTACCAATGGGGGATAAGGTGCCTGGTATAACAATAACCGGCGCATGGTGATTTCATGACGACCTAAAGAATACCTCACTGAGCGGCTATTATGATCGTTTTAAGAGAGCATACTTGCACTTACATGCTTGCCATTACTTGGTACATATGTACTCTAGTACTAAATCTCGATGCTGGGTACGTGATTACTGAAGATGCTTCCGGTACTAAATCAGCTGAAATGGAGTCACGTTGACAGTGACGTCCCGTATCAATTATTAGTAGCTGAATCCGAGACACTCACGATGCAGAGTTGCGCGATTTCATGCCTGCATTGCGGGGGCCGGGCCGGGTCCGACCACAAGAAGCTTAACATGATGAGTCTCCGTGTGCTCTCTACGCACGTAGGAGCACCTACCTCCACTCAAAGATTTAAAGGTTCAAATGGAATTATATCTTATTTCTCAAACCCAAAATAACGGGCGTCATTTGACGAGGAGAGAGGCGTGATTGAGGCTGCTGGTTGGAATACATAGAGAGTAGAGTATGTTGGGGGGTAGTCTCGTACCCAGCCCGTTTGGAAGTAGACGGGTTGGGGACGAGGTACCTGATACACTCTAGAGTAGTAGTACCAGCAGGGGTGAGGGAGGCTTCGGCAATCTGGGAGCCGAATGCATCTGTTCACATAAAGTTAAGCTCACCCGACCCAACTGGCTGGGCAGTCATGCATGTTATGCATGTGGGTGCTCGACGCTAACCCGTGGTTACACAGATGGGTCATGCAGCCGGCTAACTTATCATACTCTAGGTAGAGCAGAGTGTTTAGCCCAGCTGCTGATCACCAAAATAATACCTAAAGCCGGTCTCAGCCCCTGATGAAGATCGCCTGTAAACCTGGTAAGAGTACCAAGACTCAAGAGTAGATCTAGAGTACCGATATGAATTATCATTTACTTGGCTTAACAATATCGATCTGAAGGAATTTGTAGTGTAGAGTAGGGGAAAATTTGCGTAGAGTACCTAGAGTACAAGGTCGGTACTCTATTTAGAGTAAATGCACTCTACCGTCTGTTACGATAATGTACAGTTTTCATCCTCGTTTTCCTCCACTGGTAAGACACCAGTTAATTCACGTACTGTACCTACGTAGCTTCACACATATGTTCTCTAGCTCGTGAGTTGGTACAGCTGCTGCTAATTACCCACCAGTTAGAATGCATATTTATCGAGACGTCGGGGCCAACAAAAAGCGGAACAGTTGTTACCTGGATCACCCCGGACGATACCCAACCATGCACCGATCCATAGATTCAAGTGTCTGTTTCCCGATCGTCCTGAAAGTCAGCTTTCTTCTTTCGGTTTGCACTGGAACAAGTTAGCACCAACCGAGAGATGCAAACACGTACGGTATAGTGATTGGTCTTGGCAAAAAAAGCAGACCCCCGCGTTACTAATTCTTGGCGCAGACCACCAACATCCAATCATTAACAGCTCGTACTAGACCACCTAGGGATTGATTCGTTGTCTACCCCACTCAAAACAAAACCTCTCTTGCAGGTACTCTAGAGTGCCTACTTTCGAGTAAGAGATATATCTGTCATGAACAGATATATTACATCCCCATCATCCCCTAGTACCAGCTGTAACATTGACCTCTTGTGTGGCCAACACTGAGAAGAACCTTCGCGGCCCGGCCGGCAGTCCATCTTGAAGAATGCGGATGGATTTTATCCATGGATTCATCTAACAAACCGGGAATAGGTAGGCTACTATCAAGGTTCCATGGCCACATACCAGAGAACTGGTCTAGTAGTCAAAGGTGTTCCGTAACCGTTTGGCTTGATAGAGAGGATTGAAGATAGGCTGGCTAGTATCCTGACTGATGAAATTTGACTTTGATATCGAGCGAGGAGATGGTGGATACATATACCGAGACGAAATGACAGCGAGCTCTGGAAGCGGAGAGAGGTAGGTTGTCAAGTACAGTCAGATAAAGTATTAACAGCTGGCCACAAGGGATTTGGCGGGTCCAAAGAGTGATACGCTTGATTACTGGAACTAGAGATTTGTCATGTTTCTTTAGTTATTCGGCTTCGCCTTATTTCCAGGAAGAAACCATATCCGACAGGTACTTCAATTCCTTGAATATTTGAACTTTTTGATTTATTAAGCCGGTCGGAGTAATCATTTATAGAAAGGCTTGATGGTTACATTTATCTGACAATATAAACAAAATTTATGATCGGCGGCATGGGATAACTTACAAAAGAAATCAAAACTGCGAGTAGCTTCTAACCAAATGTCATTTTCCTCTCCCATCGAACACCTACAAAACCTGCGATTATAACTACCGGCAATACACTACCCAACTCGCCCAAGCCCGCCCATTCAGGTGAGATCCTAACAGCTACAAAACCTCCTCCAGCTGCAATCACTGCAAAGAAATTCCACAAAACTCCATAAGCAAAAGAAACCCAGATACATGTTCTCACTCGCCTACTGAGGTCCAAAAAGCTGATGACACTGGTTAAGGATGTCGACAAGATGGCTACATCCGCAGCCGATATCGCAACTGAGGTCGAGTCAGACATAGACAGCCCAACGTCTGCTTGTTTTAGTGCTATAGCATCGTTGGTCCCATCGCCAAGGAAAAGAACAATTGGGCGCTTTAGTACTGGTTCGTTTCTGTTGTCCTCCCGTGTTGGTTGTAGTTGAATTTGAAGCTTCTTGATTTCCGAGGATTTTTGTTCTGGAGAGCAGCCGGATCTGCAGTTTCCCTCTGGTATACCAAGGACCTTCGAGATCTTTGAGACAGCGTGTGTATGGTCCCCAGAAAAGATATAGGTTTCTATACATCTTCTATGAAGCTCTGCGATTACTTCTTGTGCCTCAGGACGAATAGTATCTTCAAGCCCAAAGACAGCCCTGAGCTCCCCGTCGATGGAAAGCGCAAATACTGTCAATCCTTGCTGAACTACTTCCTTTATAATGTGATGTGCATCGCCACTATGAGAACACCAAGAAGGCTGCCCGCCTCTCACGAGTTGTCCTTCGATTGTGGCTTCGAGTCCTTTCCCCACAACTGTCTCAACAGTAACATCCGAGTGTCCCAGCGCCTTCGAAACACTTGTCGCTAATGCTTCGGAAACTGGATGCTTTTCTCCTTCGCACAGGGTCTTTACCAAGTTCCGAATTTGATCTCCGACTTCAGCACTCCATCCAACTCCAGTGTACTCCTTCTCAAAAACAACTTTCAACTTTCCTGTTGTTAAGGTCCCCGTCTTGTCGAATACAACCTTGTTCGCCTTCAGCCCTCTTTCCACTGCGATGACATTTACAAACAGAAATCCGCACTTTCTCATTGCGACCCTACTGGCAAAAATCATGACCATGGGTACAGCAAGACCGATGGCACATGGGCATGATACAGCCAGTGTTGCTACAGCAAAAGAAACCGCTTCCACCGCGCTATCAGACCACTCCTCGTTTCTGCCTAGCCTATTCACAAGAAGCCAGATAATAAACACCACCAGAGAAATAAAAAGAACAGTCGGTGTCATGATGGCTGCAAATCTATCAGCCATCTCTTGCACTTTTGGCTTTTCCCCCCCAGCTGATCGAACCATCCGTTTGATGACAGAAACCGTATTCTCGTGCATCAATCTTGTAACTCGATACTTCAGTCTGCCGTTTACGACGTTGCTTCCGGCCATTACCAACCGGCCGACCTGAACCTCTGCAGGAGCTGCTTCTCCTGTCAAGAGACTTTCGTCTACTTCCGCCTCCCCCTCCACCACAACGCCATCAGTGGCAATAACACCGCCCTTTATAACAACCAAGACATCCGCGTATTGGAGGAGTTTCTCGTTAATCTCTCGAATGTTGTCGCCGTCCACCAAAAATACTCTCTTTGATCTCTCCCTTTGATGCTCGTCGCCAAGGGCCAAGACCCTATTCAACGCCCACATTCTCACCATCCCGGTGATCCACCTCCCTGCAAGAATCAATGCAACCAACAAACAACATGTCTCGAAGAATGGCTCCTTTCCAGTGGTTCCGAATGTTCCGCTGATGGTATCAATCATGAAAATCGATACCGAAAACCCCCAGGCGGCGAATGTAGCAACCAGGACGAGAACGTCCATATCGATTCTACTAC